GATGTACACGTTTAAAGAAGAGTAGTGCCTTGGGGGAATCCTTAGGTGTAGGCAATATACAAGAGGAAGAGACAGTGGAAGAATATATAGTGTAGTATGTAAAAGTAACAAAAACAATACAAGAAAGAGTAATAATATAACACTAACATTTACCCTTTATTTTATTGTGTTTATTACTTTTATATACCCTTTAATAAAATTAGTTAATTTTTAGTATCCCTGGACCATCCTTTTTTTCCTGACATCTGGACTTCAAATTTCTTGGTGAGGAATGAACCTATACATTGAGCAAGAGCGTTATTTTGCTTTACATCAATCAATGTTTCCTGAACCAAGAGGTACAGTACACATCCTCAAGCGGGGATTAAACTGTCCAGGTGTACAGAAGCAGAGCTAACTAATAGCTCTTTACACTGTAAGTGTATCTCTTATTATATTTATAATATATACACATTATATTATATATCACCAGTACCTGACATATTACACTAGATATTCCTCCACTTGTTGTATATTGCCTACACCTAAGTATACCCCAAGGAGCTACTTCCTTCTTTACATATGTACATTTTTGTCTTGGAAAATGTACTTTTGCCTGAAAAATAAAGAATCCAGTTTGGGTTGCTCGAGCTGCTTTCTTATTCCACCAACACACCTCAAGCGCTAGAAACCTACCATTAACTACTAAGTCTGGGAAAACCACAGGAAGCAGATTGCAAACGCTGCTGTGGAGCCTGATGCAGCCAGCCGCTGAACACCCCTGTGTGGGAGGCTGTGGTTTGCATCACCATTAGGTGCAAACCACAGTAATTGCTCCCTCACAGTCCGTTTCTCATTAGTGAGAGCAGGTCTACAACAGTGTGATTAGTGTGTTTTGCACCAGCTGAAACCAAGTGCCATTTACCAGCCATGCTGATTTGCCCATGACAGGCAAAAAAAAAAAAAACTTCCTACCTGGCGCCTGGTACTGTTTGTCCAAGGTATCAGGCAATCATAGCATTTGTCCATTCCTATGCATAATTAAATGCATACGTGTTTTTATTGGGGGTATAGCTACTAAACAACAATGTTTGTTTATTTATTTTTTGTAGTTGGCTGTGGAGTTGTGACGAATTGTACTTCGCCACTTGGTTTTGGAGAGGCCTGCTTGCCAGCCTCTTGCCCTGTTACTATGGCCCCTTGGGTGTATTGCCTTTTAAAAACTCAATTTGTGATGATTGGATTCTAAAGTACTGTTTCTGCCCCTTTAAAACTGTTGGATATGTACTTTCGAAGTGGAACTTCGGATACAGCCGAAGTAATCCAAGTTGCCGCTATTCAACATACGAACACGCGGCGGCGGCCATTTTAATTCAGTCGAACGCGTTCAGCGGTGTTTGGTCGTCAAGTTCATGGAACGAAAATTGGATAGGCGGCGGCACGAACACCGCTGAACTTTACCTTCTCCAAACTTCATGAAAATCGAAGTGCGTTCGACAATTCGAACGCCACTTTAACTTTGAGTATTTGCACAAATGGCCCCCGTTCGTGCATTAGAACAGAACTTAGAATTTGAACTATTGGAAATAGACCGGCCGCACAGCCAAATTCTATGGAACTGTTTTGGGCATGAAAATGTACGTGTGTGCAGTCGGTCAAATATGACTTCCACAAAACTTTTGAACCCCTGCTCTGATCTTGGTGATTTTAGGATATGTTGTTTGCCCAGATCAGAGCTATTCAGGGATGTATAATTTATGGGGATATGTTTGTGTTTTGAGGTGTTTATGGAGCTCTCTCTTCAGTTATACAGCTATACTCTCCTGGAGGGGAGATCCAGCTGTACTCTCCTGTAGGAGAGGTCCTTCCCACACGGTCCTGGATCCACAGGGAGTACCAGGGTGGGAAGGAGACGGCGAAACCCTAACCAAGCTACGGCGCGTTCGTGGAGTCTGCGGTGGCTAGGGTGTCCGGTGCTGTGCTGAAGGGCCTTGGTAAGCGCTAGGAGCATCGATTGGCGGACGGTCCGTCACAGGAGTATTACTTTAATCAGTTTTAAATTGCATGGCTGCTACAAGCTGAAGTGTTGCTTGGAGAGACACTCATCGCTATTAAGTAGATACCGGATTTTGTCCATCCGTATGAATGCATTCTAGCCGCAAAGGAATTTATGTAGGTCTCTGTGACTTTTTGATTAATACTACATGGTTCACAACAGAATGCGCTGATTGCAATAGAGCTACCCATAGCGCAAGTGACTGGGTTCCATGATTGTATCTCTTATTACCAGAAAAGTGAGATAGTACCCCATCAGTGTACCCGAAATTAAGCAATTCTGGGCACTCACAATTCTAATGGGCATATTTAATAAAGCCAAGTATTTGCCTATTCTAGTCCAAATTCAGATTTGCAGTAACCCTATTTCCAGATGATGATTAGGCCTATACTGTGGTTTATGCACAACAGTAGTACCTGCAAAAAGGTCCTCCAAAGTATGAGCACCCATTTAGATTTTGCCCCCTAATTTTACACTTCAATTACTAATTTTCAAGACTTTATGAACCTCCCCAAAAAAATTGCATTGAAGAGTCCCTAATAAAGGATAAAGGAGGACTGGGGTTTAAGCAGAATATACCATCTAAAAGATCCAAATATAAACTTTGTGAAAACAGCACTGGATATGTGTAAGCCTTGCATGTGTTTGAGGTAAAGGATAGTCACTGTGATCCCCAGATACAATAGGAACAAGTAAAACATTTGTCTGTGACATCATTAACCCCTTGTTAAACAAATGGTATCAGTCATAGGCAATGCTATATATTTTTTTTAATGCTGGGCAAAGACCCTTATTTCTCCTCTCAAGTGCAGGCAGCCAGTGCATGAAGGAATTAGTGAGATCCTAGCATGCACCACCCCAATTGCTTTCCTGACCGCTTTTAAAGCAACTGTGTTGTGTGTAAGGGAGGCTGCTTGTAGGCTTTGTGTATTGTGTTTATGATAAGGTTGTATTTCATATGTGGGAAGTGATTTTGTATGATGATGGCTATCTTCATGGGGTGACAGTGATAAGGGGGTGTCTTTGGCAATGTGAGGGGCTGACAAGGTGAATGTGACAGGGGGCCCGATCAGAGTCAAAAGTTACGAGGATCTGGCTCTGGCATCCCCCTTCATGTGGAGTCCGGGGGACTTTCACCCACTGCCCCATTAGTTTTGCGCAGGTATTAGCAACATATAAATAACTACTACAACAGCATGACACTTCTGAAAATGCTGCATTGCCATGCACAGTTTTCCCAAAGGGCATAGTGCACAAAATAAAAAAATAAATAAAAAAGGTGGAGGGAGAGGGAGAGCAATTATCAGTCAGGAACAAAGGGAAGATGGAAAACCAGACAATTGCCGGTTTTAATATAGCAGCACAACAGGCACATGGGGCTTGACCTGTCTGATCAACTGTTGAAGCTGTAGCTTATCATGAGTAAAACTCATGCTTTCATACCAGACAATTTATTTAATGCAAATGGAAACCCACAATGCCTAGATATTATAGAAAAGGACAAACGAAGTGAAAACTACCTTTCTTACTTTTAACTTCAGCTAATGTTAGCACTGCTCACTGAATGCTAAAGTCATGCTTGGTCATCAATTGAACTTAAGAGTTGAAGAATTGTGGCAGCTCTTTCTGTGTCTCTTTCGCCCCTTCCCTAGCACCTCTGTGAGTCTCTTCATCCCCTTCCTCCATCGGTGTGTCTCTTTCGCCTTCAAGCCTCTTTTGTGTTACTCTTTCTCCCCTTCTCCTCTGTGTTTCTTTTCCCCCTAGCACTAGGTTTATGCCCCCATCCCCTGTGTTTTACTTTTTAAGTTTCCTCAGTCCCTCTGTGTGTCTCCTTCTCCCCCCTGCCTCTCTGTCTCCTTTCCCCCTAAGCGCCTCTGTGTGTCTCTTTCCCCCCTAGGTCTTTTTGTGTGTCTTTTCCACTCCCCCTCCATCCCTTTGTGATCTCTTCCACTCCCCCACCTCTTTATGGTGTCTCCCGCCTTTCCACATGCTTACCTTCTACAAGCATGGCCATGTGAACTGTGGTAGATGTTCTTCTGTTTCCTCTACTTGGCCACCAGGCAGAGAATACAGGAGATCCTCTCCCAATGTCTGCTTGTCCACGCTACATAAAGTGACTGGCAGGATGGAAGCGCTGTGCGCACCCCTCCGTCCAGTCACCCAGAAACTGCATCCCTGGACCGGTGCGCCCTATGCGGCCACTTGTGCCGCCTTATAGTTGCACCAACACTGTATCTATGGCATATATCAGAGGTATCGTTTTACTCTGAAGATGTAGCTGAGCATAATTTGTGGGGGTCTTAAAGACTGCCACACATCAGATTTACAAAATACCCAGCAAAAATGCAACTGGTATGCAGAATATACACATTAAGGCATAGCATTCACCATATGAGATAACCTGGCATCTTCTTTCATGAATGGTAGGCCTTCATAGGGGAATTTAAACTGTTAAACTGATGAAATGTCCCAATACTAAAGATACATTCATCAAAAACATCTAGCTAAATTCTAATGTTAAAACAGACAGTCAGGTCACAGTATCTTCACTGGATAGTAGCAAAGGCTTATAGTGGGGATGTTGTTTTACTCGGAAGAGTTAACAGAGCATAATTTGGGGGTTATCATAGCGGCACATATCAGATTTATAAAATGGCCAGCAAATATGGAATGTGTATGTAAAAAAAACCTTTATCTTTTTACCAAAAATTCATGTAAAAATGGCGGCACGTTAGGGAATACTATACTCCATATAAGATAAAATTGGGGGTATTTTTTAGGGATGTGCATGGACAAAAAACTTGGTACGGTTCGGAAATCCGGGTAAGTAAAAAAATGTGTATGCTTCGGCAATTCGGACCAATGACATTCAGTCCGACACTTCCGATCAACTTCAGCAATTCGGAACTTCGGTAATTCAAAACTTCGCAAGCATCCGAATGTCTGAATTTCACATGTCTAAAGTGGTTGTGGTGGCAGTCCTGGCACTGGGAGCCATGGGCCACGACAACCACTTACACATCTATAGGGCTCCCAGTGCCAGAACTGCCACCACAATCACTTACACATCTATAGGGCTCTCAGTGCCAGGACTGCCACCACAACTACTAGCGCATCTATAGGGCGCCCAGTGCCAGGACTGCCACCACAACTACTTACAAATCCATAGGGCTCCAAGAGCCCAGACTGCCACCACAACAACTTACACATCTGAAGGGCCCCCAGTGCCAGGATTGCCACCACAACCACTTACACATCTTTAGGGCTCCCAGTGCCCGGACTGTCAACGTACTGCTAGATATATACTCTGTGATGTCTACTTTATATAAGTATATGCTTTTGTTTGGCAATTTTGTTTTCTGTGATGGCTATTAAATTTGTAAGAAAAGCATACCTGCTGCTAAATTACTAAATTACTTATTTTCTATCTTTATGAAATACTCTTTTTGAAGGGGAGGGGATGGGGTCCCACTTTAGGTACAAAAATAAAAAAAATTAAGCTGCCTCCTTAAAGGACCATTAAAGGCAGCCATAATAATGGGTCTGGGTGCAGTAGTCCTTTAGTTTTAACCCTGCAATGTACAGCATTGCAGTTTAGTAGATACGGCAATGCTCACATTGCAGGACTAAATGCGCCTTTAGTGGCTGTCTACAAGAGTGTTAGGAATTCAGGTTTGTATGTCTTTAAGAGATTAAATACAGTTTCAAAATCCACCTGTTCTGAAAAAATGTTTTATCCACTTACATAGTAACATAGCTGAAAAGAGACTTGAGTCCATCAAGTTCAGCCTTCCTCACATATGTTTTTGCTGTTGATCCAAAAGAAGGCAAAAAATCTAGTATGTAGCGCTACCATTTTTGCAACAAAGTAGGAAAAAATTCCGTCTTCACTTCATAATATGCCTTGCATTTTTCTTAAAAGTTACAAAATCATTTACATTGCTTCAGTGTTAGTCATCTCACAATCTAATATTCTTTTAAGTTGTCCCTGTACGTTACGTTAATATCACCGCCACCTCCCACTAGACCAGAGGTCAACAATCTACGCCACGTGTACCATGTATGGCACTCAAGGCTGTCAGAGCTAAATAGGCTGTGGTCTATCAGGAGTCCGTAGTGCAAACTGAATGGTGAGGGGAAATCCTCAATTTACGCATTGCAGCACTTAGACAAGTGATTCCCAGCACTTAAATCCAGCACTTGTGAACAGGAATCTGCACTGGAGTAGTGCAGCCCGCAGCAGCAATCGCAGCTCCTGCCCTTAACCAGTATCTGGCCAGCCTGGTCCCCAAAGGATGTGACCCACACTGCTTGATATACACAGAGCTGCAGATGAAGCCTCCCCATCATACAAATAATACAAACACCCAAATACAATCTCCAAAACCACACCACCACTGACAATTCAAGTACACACACACAACCCCACAGGCAGCCTCTCAAAATGCAATACCCCAAGCAGTCCCACACATACACACACCAAACACACATGTGACATATTATCTACACATACACTTAAACAAGCAGCCCCCATACACAGCCCACATTCATAGGTATCGTACACAATACCACAAACTACTCATGAGCCTATACCGTACAATATAATAGCTTACATACACACAAGTACAATGCTACAAAGGAACTGCAGCACCTATAAATACCACAAGGAAAATATGGCAACAAACACACCACAGTTTAAACAAAAAGAGATTTGGCATGCCAATAGACTTCAGAATCTTGTTTTAGCACAGTACTACTAAAAGGTTGCCCAATGCCTACCCACATACAGACATGTATTCTAACATTATAGGTGTCATCATCCCTGCCCATCAAGGGTTAAAAAAAAAATGTAACTTGCTTTAATTGAAGTGGCACGCTGGTTCTCTTTTTGTTGAAGAGTAAAAAAAAAAAAATAGAGATGAAGAGGTCTAGGTGCCCTTTAATCCTTCAGCACTGCTTCATGTGTATTGCTTTGATACATTTTATGTTATCTTTCACATACAAATGTAGCCTAGTTCAAAGTCTACATAAAGTTTACATGCAACGTTTAAAATAAAACCCTCTTTAAAACAAATGTGAAAAGGAATGTTTTGAGAACAAACAAATAGTATATAAGTTCAGTTAAAAAGTTTATTATCTCATTTGTTAATTAAAGGTACAATAAGTTTGCAGTAAAATGTAATTAAAAAAAGGTTGGAAAAAAAACAGATCTTTTCAAAAAGCAATATCATGTATTGCAACTGCACAACTCAGTTATTCATTAACTCCTAAGAAACTACAAATTTGCATTAAGTGCCATAAAAAAAACTTGGGGATATCAAGTTGTTGCCATACAACCTAAAAGTGACTGGCGCTTTCTGTCAGGTTAAGCTACCGGTAATCCTAAAAATAGTGTTTTGGTAACTGACAAATACACCATTCTGAGTACCAGATGGTCTGTAACCATACCATATTCTCCCATCATCCTCAGGCAGTATCTACCTAAGGATAGTAATGGTTCAAATTCATGGCAGCAGGACTGATTGACAAAAAAATGCAACAGTTTGCCAACATATAGAGTACAAATATCACAACGTTTGAGGGGTATAATGAAATATTAGCTTTGCTAAAATAGATTGTGTTTATGTGACTTAGAACACAATGTTCAACAGTAAATGAACACATCATAATGTGTGATAAATGCAAAGCCCCCCAGCAATAAAAAGTACAATGGAGGGTGTGGTTGGACAATAACCAAAGGTAGCTATGCTTCCCACTCTGGATCTGAGGCATGTTTTACCTAACAGTCAGCTCTTGGTGACCAGCAATATTAAAAGAACGTTCCAAGAACCATAACTCTTTTTTTTTTTTTTTTTTAAATAGTTTGACTTTTTACTTTGTATCTGCAGGCGCCTCTCCCTGTCTCCACTACAGGCTTTAGTAGAGCTGAAAACTCTGTAGGTTGTCATGCACCACAGGGGTTGTCAAGCACCTACAGTGCTGTAGGTTGTCAAGTTGTGGTTTACATGACATGGGTCACCTTTTTATGGAGTCTTAAATCTCTGACACCAGCTAAGGGTTTCCATTATCTCCCACTTATTTAGCATATTGCTCTTGTAATTTACTGATATTACTAATAACTTACCTTTCCCAATCACCCCTTTACATGTTGAAACCACACTGATTCCAGCATGTACCGGCTGCCTAAGGCTAACAGGAGTCTGATTGCTGTCAGCATGTTCAGTTAATGCCATATTTGCATAGAAATTGTGTTGGTTTTTCAAAACTGTAATTGTACAGAATATGGGGACCAATTATTGGCAAACGGCCTGAAAATTAATAAATAATCTGTATCAGCATTGGCTTTGGAAAAACAATATTGGTCAATCCCCACCACGTCTGTAAAATGTAACTGTATTTGTTTAGTGGGATTTAAGATGTGCATTGTTTTGATCGCAATTTTATTATGATTTACACAGCATGCCACTAGGTAATGACATGTTCGTTAATTCAAACGCCAATCACTCTAATCGTATTTAATGAATTTTCATTTTTTTGGGGTGTGATTTTGTGAGATATGTTACCATTGATTATGACAGCAACACAAGATTACTGTCATTAATATTTCACACCTTAATTCATATTATGCATGAACTGTCCATGATGATAATTCATAATGGCCAAGGTTAGACAAAAGATACATTCTCATGTTATTGAACTGCAACTCCCATAAACCTTTGGCAAGCTAAAATAATTTTGTCAGGGTTCATTAAAGTGAAACTCAGTTTAAGAAGGCAGATGCCACTGGGAGGTCTGGATATCCAGTGCTGGAGACAGCCTTTGGGTTAAACCACTCGAGAACATATAACCCCTTAAAGGGAAACTATAGTGCCAGTAATACAAATCCCTTTATTTCCGTACTTTATCCGAGCACCAATGTCCCTCGGCGCTGGGTCGACACTCTGCCCCATCCATCATCCCGCACCGAGCTGACGTTAATGTGCATGTGCGGCAAATGAACACGTGCTTTAGACCTTCCCTATGGGGAAAAATCTGACGCTGGGTGTCCTCATGCAGAGCGTGGAGACGTCCAGAGTCAGATACCAGACCAAAGGTCCGTTTCAATCCAGGATGCCCTCTAGTGGCTATCTGAAAGGCAGCCACTAGAGGCGGACGTAGTGTTGCAATGTAAACATTGTAATTTCTCTGAAGCTGAAGTGGTCTGGGTGCCTAGTGTCCCTTTAAAGTAAGAGAGCGATCAGGGCCTCTTGGTACCATATCAACCTAATTTAGATTTAATAATTTCTTGCTCATAGTCTCAATTTTACTTTAAAGCGGCACTGTCACCATCTGGGGACTTTGCAGAATTCGTAATGACCCCCGACAGTGACATCGCGCTGTGTGTCCAGTGGGGGCAGGTAAAGTTGAGATTTACTTACCTGAACTTGTCCCTCACAGGTGCAGATATTGTTCTCCAGCGGGTCCTCTTCTTTCAAAATCACTGCTTGCATGCGCGAAAGTACAGCAGTGAGATCTGTGGAGAGTCCCACGAGACCGCAAGATCCTTCATAGACAAAGCAAATTTTCTGCAGCAGTCACGTGGGACAGCTCAAAGGACTGACACTTCTAAACGGCGGTGGCTCTACCTAGTGTCTAGGTGTAGGAAATATACAGAGACAAAGTAGTCCCTACTTTGTCTATTCATGTCTCTTGACTGGGTTGGAATTTCAGTGAAGTTGCAACACAGTCAAAATGAGTGTTTAATAAAAAATTCTATCTTTATGAATACTCATTTTTTAAGTGGGAAGGGGGTGACAGTGCTGCTTTAAGATTGTCAATAGGTTCACATAAGTAACAATTGTCTGAGGTTGTATAGAATGCAAGAACAATTTTTTTCTGATCTCATCATGTTTAACCCCTTAAGGATGGTGGGCGTGCTATGCCGTCCTTGGGGAGACGGCTCTAAACGACGGCAGGTGGCATAGCACGTCCCCGCCGTCCTATGTACTTATCCGCTCGCCGGCGATCCCATGCAGGCAATCGCGGTGGGGGGACCCACCTGGTATCCCAGGGAGTCTCC